TGAGGCGATTTGAAAGGGTCCGGAATCTGCATGCAGATCCGTAATTCGCCAATTACGGGAAAAGTTTCATATGTGCCGCGGAACGGACTTCGGATTCGTGATCAGCGTGTCCTGTTTGGTCTACATGCCGATTTTGAGGCGATTTGAAAGGGTCCGGAATCTGCATGCAGATCCGTAATTCGTCAATTACGGGAAAAGTTTCATATGTGCCGCGGAACGGACTTCGGATTCGTGATCAGCGTGTCCTGTTTGGTCTACATGCCGATTTTGAGGCGTTTTGAAAGGGTCCGGAATCTGCATGCAGATCCGTAATTTGTCAAATACGGGAAAGGTTTTATATGTGCCGCGGAACGGACTTCAGATTCGTGATCAGCGTGTCCTGTTTGGTCTACATGCCGATTTTGAGGCGATTTGAAAGGGTCCGGAATCTGCATGCAGATCCGTAATTCGCCAATTACGGGAAAGGTTTCATATGTGCCGCGGAACGGACTTCGGATTCGTGATCAGCGTGTCCTGTTTGGTCTACATGCCGATTTTGAGGCGATTTGAAAGGGTCCGGAATCTGCATGCAGATCCGTAATTCGTCAATTACGGGAAAAGTTTCATATGTGCCGCGGAACGGACTTCGGATTCGTGATCAGCGTGTCCTGTTTGGTCTACATGCCGATTTTGAGGCGTTTTGAAAGGGTCCGGAATCTGCATGCAGATCCGTAATTTGTCAATTACGGGAAAGGTTTTATATGTGCCGCGGAACGGACTTCAGATTCGTGATCAGCGTGTCCTGTTTGGTCTACATGCCGATTTTGAGGCGATTTGAAAGGGTCCGGAATCTGCATGCAGATCCGTAATTCGTCAATTACGGGAAAAGTTTCATATGTGCCACGGAACGGACTTCGGATTCGTGATCAGCGTGTCCTGTTTGGTCTACATGCCGATTTTGAGGCGTTTTGAAAGGGTCCGGAATCTGCATGCAGATCCGTAATTTGTCAATTACGGTAAAGGTTTCATATGTGCCGCGGAACGGACTTCAGGTTCGTGATCAGCGTGTCCTGTTTGGTCTACATGCCGATTTTGAGGCGATTTGAAAGGGTCCGGAATCTGCATGCAGATCCGTAATTCGCCAATTACGGGAAAAGTTTCATATGTGCCGCGGAACGGACTTCGGATTCGTGATCAGCGTGTCCTGTTTGGTCTACATGCCGATTTTGAGGCGATTTGAAAGGGCCCGGAATCGGCATGCAGATCCGTAATTCGTCAATTACGGGAAAAGTTTCATATGTGCCGCGGAACGGACTTCGGATTCGTGATCAGCGTGTCCTGTTTGGTCTACATGCCGATTTTGAGGCGTTTTGAAAGGGTCCGGAATCTGCATGCAGATCCGTAATTTGTCAATTACGGGAAAGGTTTTATATGTGCCGCGGAACGGACTTCAGATTCGTGATCAGCGTGTCCTGTTTGGTCTACATGCCGATTTTGAGGCGATTTGAAAGGGTCCGGAATCTGCATGCAGATCCGTAATTCGTCAATTACGGGAAAAGTTTCATATGTGCCACGGAACAGACTTCGGATTCGTGATCAGCGTGTCCTGTTTGGTCTACATGCCGATTTTGAGGCGTTTTGAAAGGGTCCGGAATCTGCATGCAGATCCGTAATTTGTCAATTACGGGAAAGGTTTCATATGTGCCGCGGAACGGACTTCAGGTTCGTGATCAGCGTGTCCTGTTTGGTCTACATGCCGATTTTGAGGCGATTTGAAAGGGTCCGGAATCTGCATGCAGATCCGTAATTCGTCAATTACGGGAAAAGTTTCATATGTGCCGCGGAACGGACTTCGGATTCGTGATCAGCGTGTCCTGTTTGGTCTACATGCCGATTTTGAGGCGATTTGAAAGGGTCCGGAATCTGCATGCAGATCCGTAATTCGTCAATTATGGGAAAAGTTTCATATGTGCCGCGGAACGGACTTCGGATTCGTGATCAGCGTGTCCTGTTTGGTCTACATGCCGATTTTGAGGCGTTTTGAAAGGGTCCGGAATCTGCATGCCGTAATTTGTCAATTACGGGAAAGGTTTTATATGTGCCGCGGAACGGACTTCAGATTCGTGATCAGCGTGTCCTGTTTGGTCTACATGCCGATTTTGAGGCGATTTGAAAGGGTCCGGAATCTGCATGCAGATCCGTAATTCGTCAATTACGGGAAAAGTTTCATATGTGCCACGGAACGGACTTCGGATTCGTGATCAGCGTGTCCTGTTTGGTCTACATGCCGATTTTGAGGCGTTTTGAAAGGGTCCGGAATCTGCATGCAGATCCGTAATTTGTCAATTACGGGAAAGGTTTCATATGTGCCGCGGAACGGACTTCAGGTTCGTGATCAGCGTGTCCTGTTTGGTCTACATGCCGATTTTGAGGCGATTTGAAAGGGTCCGGAATCTGCATGCAGATCCGTAATTCGTCAATTACGGGAAAAGTTTCATATGTGCCGCGGAACGGACTTCGGATTCGTGATCAGCGTGCCCTGTTTGGTCTACATGCCGATTTTGAGGCGATTTGAAAGGGTCCGGAATCTGCATGCAGATCCGTAATTCGTCAATTACGGGAAAAGTTACATATGTGCCGCGGAACGGACTTCGGATTCGTGATCAGCGTGTCCTGTTTGGTCTACATGCCGATTTTGAGGCGATTTGAAAGGGTCCGGAATCTGCATGTACGAGATTGATATCAATCTGCATGCAATTATACAAACGTGTGGGATATGTACTTTAGCTCATATGGCGAAAGATAAACTGCTAGCCTAACTTTTTCAGAAAAGTGATATTTCTTAAAGCCCTTTTTAGGCGGATATTATTCTTTTATCCACATTTTTACGTTTCTAATTTAAAAATAAATAATTGAACATTCATTTTACACACGTCTTAAATTGGTCGTAATAAACATTTCTTCCAAAAGGCACCGTCGCCTGTTAGCACGCCGCCATTTGTGTGTTGTCGGTGTGTTGGTGAGGCCGGAAATTAACGCCGAATTATTGGTAATTTGGTTCTTATAGGTAAAAATTAGCATTTTTTAAATAATTTAGATCATGTTTGTAAATTTGAATAGCCTCAACGTTCATGTGCGTCGGTATAAATGTTGAAATATCGCGATAGAATTTATGATGATTTTGTAGGCTATCATGGCGCATGCTTTCCGCGGTATAATATTTTAATTATTTACGAAATGTAATGCTATTTACAGGGTTATAGTTTATCTTAAAGTAAATAATAGGCCTATTTTGTTGTTTGGGGCAATTGTTGATTAGAGAGACACATTTAACTGCCCACAGTAGCTAGAAATGTTATGGCCTGGCAGGTTGTGCAAAAGTTTGCAGTGTGGCCATATCATTTATTCAGTCAATTGTCTGTGCAAGCAGGGACCGATAGGATATATCTTTTAGTTTTTAATGAAAAGTTAAATTTGGGCTTATGCTAGGTTATTCATACTTGCATTCTAAGTGGCTTTGTCATGGATTCATAGAACAATAATAGAAGTGGTGACTGCAAATGTGTGTTTTTCCACAGCTCATCAAAGTACCACCTCCTCGCTGTAGCAGTGGGCATCACCGTCACCTCAGTATTGCTCAGGAAGCTCGTGATAATGGTACCTATGGTCCTACGTTGAGGAACGCTCAATCAAAAAATGATATGATGAACTTCTTTGGAATTAAGCGGACTAAGTACAGCTACATTTGTATTATGTGCATCGCTCATGCAAGACAGCAGGCCAGGATGCTGCTGAATTCATACAGCTGCAGGCATGTATGAATTGTTTTTGCAATAGATGGTTGTAGTGTTTTGTTTTGTCGCTGGTGTGTCACGTTCAGTTTAATGCATCACGTTCAGACACTACAGTGGTCCAGTCCAGTGTACATTTTGCACACTCAAGCTGGGCATGCTGAAAATAATTCGCTGGAGCTCCTTCAGTGTGATCTCATGAAGTTGCCTGGCACAACTTTGGAACTTTGCGAGCTCACATGACTCATCCCCAGTTTTGTCCTGACACAGCCCAATCTAATCCTTTTTCAAGATACAGGCATTGTCTAATGTTTTCAAAACAATTCATTCTAATCTAAATGCAGAAACTTCTTCACTAATGCATGTGTAATTTGTACCTACATTTTCCAGACTGCTGAGTCTGAGGCATTGTACATTATTTTCACATCATGTGCCGAAATGTAGTACCTATCAGTGCCCTGCGCCAACTCATCAGGTCCATGTCTTGTCTTGTTCGCCTTGTTACATCCGCCTACCTCTCCTCCATCATTTCTTCCTTCCATCTTTCCTTGCTTCCTTCCTCACTCCCTCTCCTCTCGTCTCCTCGTCTCCTCTCCTCTCTCCCCTCCCCTCCCCTCCCCTCCCCTCCCCTCCCCTCCCCTCCCTCTCTCTCTCTCTCTCTCTCTCTCTCTCTCTCTCTCTCTCTCTCTCTCTCTCTCTCTCTCTCTCTCCTTTACTCTTTCCCTCCTTCTCTCCTATTCTTTCTCCTCCATTTTCTCCCACGCAATGTTAAGTGTACCTATAATTTGGTTATGAACATTTTGCAGGGGATGAGCTGGAGAACCTGCAGCGCATTCTCCAAGAGACGACGGAAGCCAACGGAGGCCCGCAAAACTTTCCATCCCATAATCGTGAATGGAGAGCTGGGCGGGGAAGACGCGGTATTCGTCGAGGCCCAGGAGGTGGTATCGGCGCCACCAGACCAAGCATTCCTGCTGTGGCAGGCCGCATTTTGGATTTTTAACATCAAAACTCCTAAAAATATGGTCAATCTGAATTAGTTTCTGAGAACCAAAGTGTTTGGTGGGGTGAAGGCCGATGTGCCGCCATCAGCGGCGGCCATTGCGACCGTGAAGCAAGTAGAGTGAGATCCCCGTAGAGCATGCCGCTGCGGGGTGTCGGAAGCGTTTGCCAATTCTATGAGCCTTCCACCGGCAGGACTATAAATACACATTTCTTGAAATATATTGTTACCGCCGAGAGGGGGAATTGAAGGAATAGGAGGTGCCAGTTCAGTTTATTGCTTAGGGCATGCGAATGTGCAACACTTACCTGTGCATGTCTGCCTGCGGAATTTGCACTGCATGGGATGTTGGGACGTTTGCTTTGTGTTGCAATCGTGGCTGCCGGGTTTGCTCACACATGTTTTGCCTTCTCTTACAGTGCAAACGTGCTAAAGTAATTGTTCATTGATGACAGGCGTATTGTGGACCATTGAACTCCTTCATCTTGCAAACGAAGTACGTATCCATACGTTTATGTGTTAAATGTCTGCGGTCAACTGTGGCTACGCTATGGAGTCATTTGTTTTCTAATGAGCTGGCCACTACTTTGAATTGACACTGATCACAACAGAATGTTCAGCAGACGCCAGACAGTACAAAATGTGAATGATTGCTTGTGAATAATGCACTGTCAAACAAATCGCTAGAATGCTTGCTCGATTGTCTTGTCCGCATAGCTTCTTGCGCAGGGCTGTCGTGCATGAATCGTGCATGAGCACTGCATGAGCTTCATGTGACTGACGGTGCGTGATCTGTGCGTGTTTGTTGCAGCTTTTACGTGACAAATGAATGGACTACTGCTGCAATACATCACTGGGGCAATCCTAACTGTCCTTCTCTATTGATAGTAGTTGGTAGTTGACGAAACGCGGTTACAGTAAAAGTTCGTTTGCTGCTTCCTTTTCCAGTCACTCAATGAACACAAGCTGAACAAGCTTACCTTCTGTCCAATGTAATGTCCCATCCTTGTCATTGGTATCACTGAAGAGGAGAATTGAAGACAAGATGGATCAACAGAGGGTTCAAGTGCAAGAGAAGAAGACAACTGTATGTGAAGGGTCACGACCAACAAGAGGAAAGAAGATGACTGAAGCTGGCAGAGAATACCAATGTGGTATCAAGACACAGGCATATAACAGATACTGCAAGGAGCTTAACAAGCTGTCAGTGCGCATACTGACTGAAGATGGTATGGAAATAGCAGACGATATCAGTCAGGAACTTCTGGACAAATGGATGCTTTGCCATCAGGAGTTCCTACAGATTGAACAGGAACTCCAAGAACTGCTGGATCCTGAAGACAGACTCCAACATGACAAGAAACATGGCCAGCAACTGGAAGAAATGAAAGTGATTCTTGGTCTTCTAAGACAACAAGATCCAAGAGGGCTTCTCTGCCGCCCGTATTCAAGTGCTGCACCTGGTGCAGTTGGAGGACAGGGTGTGACGCAAGAGACGCCTCAAACCGACCTCAGGATTGAACGCGATGATGACAACAAAAGCGCTGCATCTCGAAAGAGCACTGCAAGCTCGTTTCGTGCTAAGCTGCTCGAAACCCGCCTTCAGGATGAGCGTCAGCGAGCTGAAGCGGAAGCGAAGATGGCTGCTCTCCAGAGTAGGAGGAAACTGGACCAAATGAGACAGGAACTCGAATGGAAAGAAGAAGAGCTTCGGCTGAAGACACAAATTGAAGTCAGTGCAGCACAGAGGGAAGCTGCAAACCGGATTGCAGAGGAAGAAGAAGAGATGTTTGTTATGGAAACAGGAGCAAGACCTCGCATGTGTGTCGAACATCAGCAAGCTCCTGCTGCTATGCATGAAGCCGCAACACTGAGAAACTATCAAGAAACTGAAGGTCCAACCATCGACACAGCTGGCCTCGGTATCAGTCGCTCAACAAGAGTTCCGTTGGACGCAGTCGGTGATCCGCAAGGAAACGCTGAGATGACATCTCAAGAACAACTGCTGACGGGTCTGTCAACGCTGTTGTCAGCTCAGAACAAAAGAAGTGATCTCCCTAAGCTGGAGCCAGACGTTTTCAAGGGCAACGTTGAAGACTTTCCGCTTTGGTTAAAGTCGTTTGAGTCCTTCATTGAAAGCAAGACCGAGTCTCCAGTTGAACGGCTGAACTACATGTCTCGTTACACGGCCGGAGAAGCGAGGAGTGCGATACACGGACTGCTGTGCCTCAGGACCAACGATGCGTATGACCGAGCGAAGGCACGCCTCATCGAGCGATATGGGAACAGCTTCATTACCGTCACAAGCTACAAGAAAAGACTGAGGGACTGGCCTGTGATCAAACCGGGCGACACCAAGGCCCTGCAACAGCTGGCTGACTTTCTAGATGGGTGTTCTGCTACTGCTGATGTCGTGCCAGGCATGAGAACGCTAGGCGAAGCAGAAGAGAATGCAATGATCTTGAAGAAGCTGCCGAGGTACATCGTCGATAAGTGGAAAAGGATCGTGGACAAGAAAATCTACGAGCCAGAGCCTGGCCAAGAACCGTGTTACCCATCGTTCGATGAATTTGTCACATTTCTTGCAAGAGAAGCAAGAATCGCCTCGGGCCCCGTGGCGATGCTGGCGACCCAGGAAGAGACGCGGAGCCAGCGTCGCCCGCAAACACAACCCGCTAATGGTAGAGTCAGGACCTTCCTGTCATCAGCAGGCGCCCCCAGGCCGGCAACTGAACTACGTAGCGGACACACTGGAGGCTCACTGGATCCGACGCCTATCAAGTGCTTGTTGTGTCCAGGACGACACATCACTGGACTTTGTGATGTCTTCAGATCTAGCTCGTTAGATGAACGTCACGAGCTGGTAAAGAGATATCGTCTCTGTCGCGGTTGTCTTCGAGCTGGCCATCGCTGGCGTGAATGTAGGCGCAAGGAGACCTGTGACAGATGCGGCAAACGACACCCGACCCTGCTGCACGACGAACGACTGGCCTCCGTGCACAGGGAGACACAAGAGAAGAGATCGGTCCACGATGGATCTACTCAGACTGCAACGTCACTGCAGGTGACAGCCGAACGAGGGACGACACCCTGCTCACATTCGATGATCGTACCCGTCAGGATCTGGCACAGACTTCATCCGGAGTTGAACCTGGTGACGTATGCAGTTTTGGATTCACAGTCGGACGCGTGCTTCCTGAAGAGCAGCGTTCGGGACTCTCTGCAAGCTGACGGTGAACCGATACAGTTGGAGCTAAGCACGATGGCCGGCAAGTCAAGGCTGGAGTCACTGGCTGTAAAGGACCTGGTCATCGAATCCCTGAGCACAGGCACCGAGATTGAACTACCAACCACGTACACACGGGATGACATTCTTCTTGATCGACAGCTGATCCCAAGGAAGTCAACAATTCAGGCTTGGGAGCATCTCACAGAAGTGGCATCGAGCCTACCGAGGTACTATGAAGAGGCTGACATCGGTCTGCTGTTGGGGTTGAACTGTGGTGCAGCCATCAAGCCTCTGCAAACAGTCACAGGTGGAGACAACGAACCCTGGGCAGTTCGCACTGAACTGGGGTGGTCTGTTGTGGGCACGGTCGAGACACCGACGACGCCCTCTTCAGGCTGCTACCTCGTCAACGTGGGTAGTGACGTCACTATCAGGCGACACTTTGCCTTCAGGATGCAAGTGAGAGAAGTTACTCCAGAACAAGTATCACATCTCTTCGATAGTGACTTCAAGGAGGTCTCAAAGGGTGCCAAGATGTCACAAGAGGACATGAGGTTCGAGACGTTGATGAAAGAGCAGATGGTGCAGGGAGAAGATGGACACTTCGTAGCACCGCTGCCGCTGAAAGACCCGGACTCTCAGTTCCCGAACAACCGGATCATGGCAGAGCAGCGTCTTGCTTCCCTCAGGAGACGCTTGCTATCGCAGCCGCGCTTGAAAGAAGAGTATCAAGCATACATGCAGGATATGCTCGATAAAGGCTACGCTGAAGCTGTTCCGGATGACGAGCGATGCCGTGACGACGGGAAGGTATGGTATGTCGCTCACCACGGAGTGTACAGTCAAACCAAACAGAAGCTGCGCGTAGTGTTTGATTGCAGTGGAGAATTCCAGGGATGTTCCCTGAACAACCAGCTCATGCAAGGGCCCGATGTGTCCAACAACCTGTGCGGCATCCTGACTCGGTTTCGAAAGGAGCGCATCGGTATCACATGTGACGTGAAGGGCATGTTCAACCAAGTCAGGGTAGCCCCCGAAGACAGAGACCTGATAAGGTTTCTATGGTGGGAGAACGGCGACATGCGGCGAGAGCCATCCGAGTACCGGATGACGACACATCTGTTCGGCGCTTCATCTTCGCCGGCGTGCGCCATGAGTGCCCTGAACAAGACAGCCGACCAGTACGAAGAAGTGTTTGGATCTGACGCGGCAGACTTCATCAGAAGAGATTTCTATGTGGATGATGGTCTGACGTCGACTACCGAAGAGAAGTCAAGTGTGCAGCTGGTCAAGGACACGATCAGCATGTGCTCGAGTGGAGGTTTTGAGCTGCATAAGTTCACATCCAACTGTCCCGAGGTGGTGGCAAGTGTTCCCGAGAGCCGGCGTGCAAAGTCCTTGGAGCACGTGGACATCTCTGAAAGGACTGTCATTGAACACGCACTCGGCATGAAATGGAATCTTCAAGAAGACTCGTTCCACATAAATACGGACATCTCAGTGAAGCCGACAACCAGGAGAGGAATCCTCTCCATGGTCAGCTCCCTGTATGACCCACTCGGCTGGGTGGCCCCATTCACACTTCTAGGAAAGAACATTGTGAAGCAACTGTGCTGTGACGGGCGTGACTGGGATGAGCCTGTTCCGGACCACGTCGAGCCCCCGTGGGAGGAATGGAAGACGGACCTGAAGCAGATCGCAGACATCTCTATTCCAAGAAGGTACGCCTTCTCTGAGCACAGCCTGGCGGACTGCAGATGTGAACTGCACCACTTCTCGGACGCAAGCCTAGATGGATATGGAGCATGCAGTTACTTGCGTATCATAGATCAAGATGGATCAGTTACAACGTCACTGGTCATGAGCAAGAGTCGTGTCACACCGAAGAAGTCAGTGACAATCCCAAGACTGGAGCTGGCTGCAGCTGTGGTAGCAGTGAGGACAAGTGTCTTCCTGCGAAGTGAGCTCTGTCTGCCAAACCTCACCGAACACTTCTGGACAGATAGTTTGGCCGTGTTGGGTTACGTTCAAAACGAAAGCAAACGGTTCCACGTCTACGTGGCTAACAGAGTGCAAGAGATCAGACAGTTCTCGTCAGCCCGACAGTGGAGGTATGTCCAGTCAGCGGACAACCCTGCCGACCTAGTCTCACGCGGGATGCGGGCCGACAGTCTCAAGACGAGCACCCTATGGTGGGAGGGCCCCTCCTTCCTGAAACAGCCCGGAAGTCTTCCGGGTGGTGAAATCATTGTCGAGGTGCCCGCAGATGATCGGGAAGTCAAGGCGGCGGCATTCCAAAGCGGAACTAGTACAGGACAGCTGCCGAAGTCGTATGGTACGATGTCTTCAAGACTGTCGTACTTCTCGAGCTGGTATCGGGCGAAGAGATCAGTGGCCCTTTGTCTTCGCTACAGAACGCTCCTCTTGGAGAGGATCAGGTCCAAGAGTGGCGGCAAGTCGGAGAAATGTTCACCGAGTGGACCGAGAAGAGAATCAGATCCAGTCAGTGTGAAGGAGATGCAAGAGGCCGAGAAAGTCATCCTGAGAGCAGTACAGGAAGAGTGTTTTGTGAAGGAAATGAAAACTGACGCAACGAAGATGACTTCTGGAGTGACAGCAGACGGTACCAGCTCCCTGAAGCGGTTGAATCCGTTCGTTGCGGACGATGGACTGCTGCGCGCTGGGGGACGTCTCAGGAGGAGTAGTCTGCCCTTTGAAGTCATCCATCCAGTGATCTTGCCGAAGGAAGGTCAAGTCACGAAGCTGATTGTCTACAATGCTCACGAAGAACTGCACCACGCAGGACGTGAATCGACTCTCAGTGAGATCCGGCACCGTGGATATTGGATACTCCATGGAAGGTCAGTGGTCTCGAAGTGCATTTTGGGGTGCATCCAGTGCCGAAGGATCAGAGGAAGTCCTTGTGGCCAGAAGATGGCGGATTTGCCAACTGAGCGAACGGAAATGTCGGAGCCTTTCGAGTTCTGTGGCGTGGACGCGTTTGGCCCGTTCTTCGTACGAGAGAAGCGCAGTGAAGTAAAGAGATGGGGTCTGATGTTTACCTGTTTCGCTTCCCGAGCTGCTCACCTGGAAGTGATCAGTTCTCTGACCGCTGACTCATTCATCAACGCATATCGTCGTTTTATCTGCAGGAGAGGTCCCATCAGGCGTATATACTGCGACAATGGAACTAACTTCATTGGTGGGAAGAACCTGTTGGAGAGCGCTCTGAAAGAAGAGGATCACAAGCGAATCGCTCAGACACTCAGTAAAGACAACTGCGACTGGGTGGAGTTCGCATTCAATGTGCCATATGCGAGCCATATGGGAGGCGTTTGGGAACGCCAAATCCGAACGGCGAGAACGGCGCTGACCAGTCTGCTGAGCGCTAATGGTCAACAGCTCGACGACGAACTTCTGCAAACTCTTTTCGCCGAGGCTGAAGCCATCATCAACAGCAGGCCCTTGACCTACTGTAGCATGTCCAGTAGTGATACTGTGGAGCCATTGACACCTCTCCAACTCCTCACCCTAAAATCAAAGGTCGTCCTTCCTGCCCCTGGGATGTTCTGCTCCGCGGACCTGTATGGGCGACGACGGTGGAGGAGAGTACAGCACCTCGCCACCGAATTCTGGACGCGGTGGCGACGCGAGTTCCTGCCGTCTCTGCAGGAGAGGCGGAAATGGCAGCGGCCAGAACACAACCTGCAGGAGGACGACGTTGTCATCATGGTTGATGACAGCCAACCGCGAGGCGCCTGGCCACTAGGCCTGGTTGTGGCGACGTACCCGGCTACGGACGGACTTGTGCGAAGGGTGCGAGTGCGTGTAAACGGTCAGGAGTATGACCGCCCCGTGCACCGTCTCATTTCTCTCATGAGACGTGGGCAGTGTGATTCCCAGTCGGGGAGTCAGTGAGTCGAGCAGCGGGGCTGGAGATTTCAGCTCGCGATCTTCGACGGAGCTGGAACAGAGTGGTTCGTCGAATCGGCCGTTGCGGTTTTTGCGCGGACTTTGGGCGAGTGCTGAGACAACGCGGCCAGTGATTGCGGCACCCGGCGGAGCGGCTGCAAAGAACTCAGCTGTGATGGGGTGTTTGCGGAAGTTATCTTTAAGTTTGTTAAGTGCGCCTCTGTGCATCCGGGATTTGTTCTCAGGATCATAAAATCCTCACCGGATTTTGGGGAGCCATGTTACCGCCGAGAGGGGGAATTGAAGGAATAGGAGGTGCCAGTTCAGTTTATTGCTTAGGGCATGCGAATGTGCAACACTTACCTGTGCATGTCTGCCTGCGGAATTTGCACTGCATGGGATGTTGGGACGTTTGCTTTGTGTTGCAATCGTGGCTGCCGGGTTTGCTCACACATGTTTTGCCTTCTCTTACAGTGCAAACGTGCTAAAGTAATTGTTCATTGATGACAGGCGTATTGTGGACCATTGAACTCCTTCATCTTGCAAACGAAGTACGTATCCATACGTTTATGTGTTAAATGTCTGCGGTCAACTGTGGCTACGCTATGGAGTCATTTGTTTTCTAATGAGCTGGCCACTACTTTGAATTGACACTGATCACAACAGAATGTTCAGCAGACGCCAGACAGTACAAAATGTGAATGATTGCTTGTGAATAATGCACTGTCAAACAAATCGCTAGAATGCTTGCTCGATTGTCTTGTCCGCATAGCTTCTTGCGCAGGGCTGTCGTGCATGAATCGTGCATGAGCACTGCATGAGCTTCATGTGACTGACGGTGCGTGATCTGTGCGTGTTTGTTGCAGCTTTTACGTGACAAATGAATGGACTACTGCTGCAATACATCACTGGGGCAATCCTAACTGTCCTTCTCTATTGATAGTAGTTGGTAGTTGACGAAACGCGGTTACATATATCTTTGATCTGTGCTTGGTTACACGGGCTCTGGGTTGTGACGCTATTCGTCCAATATATGTGGTCGACGGTCGTATGCAGCTTATCATTTGAGCTGACTTATGGCCCTTTCACACGTAGCAACTTTTCCGGTCGCCGGCGACGGCAACTGTCGCCGGCGATCGCCAGCGACCGGGGTCAGTCGCCGGCGATCGCCAGCGACCGGGGTCAGTCGCCGGCAACTCCGCAGTTGTCGATATCAGCTGACCAGTCGCCGGGGTGTGACGTAGCAGTCGTGTCAGCCAATCATTGAAGAGTTGTCGGCGTTGCCGAGAAAGTTCAATTTTTCCAACATTTTGAAGTCGCCGGCGACTGTTCTAGCCAGCCGCCGCTCAACTGTCACGTGACCCGCTTGACCTTGAGTTGGCACCAGATATTGCGCTGCTGATACATGCAGCGGCGCAGCTTATTTTACTGCATTATTCAAGGTACTAAATATTTGGACATGTTTTGCAGGATGATAACTACCGTCTAGGTAATATTGGAATAATATTTATTAGATCTATTATTGAAACAATACATAATATCAATGAAAATACAATCAAACTGCGATTCTTCTACATTGGAATTCAATGCACTCAAGCATAAAACTGAAAAGTGATGTGTACTTGCAGTTCCTCCATTTTTCCTAACGCATCAGCCAAGACTACGAGTGCTGCAGATTTTGCTCACCTGTCTTGTTTATTCAACTACAACCCTGTTCTCAATAAATGAATAACTTCGCTGTAACGACATTAGCATTGAAGGAATGGTTGGTGGTAAGCATGGGACAATCACAGTGATTTGTGGTCACACATTTGAACCGTGCTTTGTATGTGAAAAACAGAAAAAAGGCATTCTAGAAATGTAGCAGAAATTCAAATGCCAGAAACGGACCTGAGGAACGGCGAAGCCTACCACCCACATAAAACACAGGCTTTCATTATGTCAAAAACAGATGCTGTATTATCTAAAGCGCTGGATTGGGGAACACAAGTGTACCCCCCCCCCCTTATAACAAAATGCATTTTTCCACACAGTGGATATCACTAAACATGGCGAGGTGACAGTATATGACACCATACGCGCTACCACATAAAAATGCAGCACGCGCGGACACGGGGCAAGGACGGTGGCACAATATGCCGATACCCAAGAAGAGACAAGCCTAGGTCAAAGGTGACAATACTGTGACAGAAATCTTAAAATCAGCCTGGACACAGCTCACTCTTCATGACCGTTTTTATCGAAAATAGACCAACAAAACACCAAGGCTCCTTCGTCCAAAACTCAAAACTCGACATGCCGCTCCAAAGGCCTTGCAAAACAGCGCACACCAACAACGCATAATAGCCAGCAACGCACACGACAGGATTTTCGAGGCCCGAGTCGTCAGCCGCCGCCGCCGCCACCTCCCGGCAGCTGATTGCTGAGTGCCTTGCTCCTTGCCCACCGGCGCCGATCGTGGCGACCTCTTTACTCTGGCAGAATCGACCCTACCGAGCGGCGACAGCATTCAGAAGCAAAATGACAAATGAATTCACTGCACTTATGTCAGAAAATCGAATGCACATGCCATGGTCACACGCGGTGCCGTCCACGGGGCCGGCAGAAGCTGCACACTGTCACCGAACACCACCTGCACCTTGAACGCAGTATGTGAGGGCTTGGCGGACGCGCGCCGCCTCGCGTGCGGTATTGGCATCAAGGCCCGGATACGAGGGAGCACAGTCACACTCGGCGCAATCAGAGCACATCGTCCGGGGCCGTCAGTGTCGATCTCCTGACCTCACAGAAAGTTGTGCAGCACACAGGTGAACGCCGTCAGTGTGGTGACTGGTGCGCAGCACACCGTCCCACGGAAGATCGTCTGTGGGCCGTGGTACAGATGCTGTCTCTAGGCAGAGTCAACAGTGCAGTGGCAGAAGTTGAACATTCAGCTGCTAGACTCCTTTTCGGGTCAGCAATGCCGTCGAGTTGGCCATCAGGTGGTGTTGCAGAATCATCAGGTACTCTTGATCAGGTACATCAGGTACAGAACCTCTTGACTCATCAGGTAACGCTGTGACTTGTCTGCCAGGCACAGAGGGCGGACATGTCAGAACATACTTCAAATACATTTTTAAAAATCATTTTTTAACCAAAAGCTCTGCAAATTAGGAAGCCTGGAATAGGCTATTGCTTAGCATCATAAAAACTACCCAAATACCCAAATCAGGTTAGGCTTGGTTTACCCAAATACCCAAATCAGGTTAGGTTTGGTTTTTACACTTCAGGCTAAAATGAGAACTATCTTACATCATTATCTTTGATGACGCTTTTTGTCTTGCACAATTGACAATCAGTATTCAGTGACACAGAATTGGAATTTGTGGTTCAGAAACCTAGCATTATTTCACACCTAGCATTTTAAGGCAGTGCTCATTCTTTTTGAAAGCAAGTGTATTTTTTAATATAATTTTCTAGGTAATTCATTTCCTACTGAATATGGTTATGAGACCATTGTTACTAATTTTGGTATTGTTAAGGCAGCTGTAGCATGAGTGGGCATATGCTGTAGAGACTGGAGTGATTAAAGTCACTAGAGGCTTGACGGTTTTTTTTAGACATTATGCAGCAGCCTGGGGAGATATGCAGAGGCAAGTCTAGGCACCACCAGAAGGGGGACAAGCAGTCAGCACAACACACAGCGGGCACAAGGGGAGAAGATTGTAAAAACTATTGCCTGGATCCACCTCTGTGGACATCCTCAGGCATGCCTCTGTGGACATCTCCAGGCTGCTGCATGTAAAAAAAAGTATCAAGTCTCTAGTGACTTTTTCCACACTGCAGCAAATGCCCGCTTATTCTTGGTCTGCTCTACCTTCCTCCAATTATGAGTTTTGTGTGAAAATGACATTTTTACATTGGTGGAGCTTGTGTGCGCATGGTACACATAAGCCATGCCGGCAGCATTGCTGCAATGAATAGAAAACAGCTCCAGGGCCAAAATACATACCACCTAATACCTTGCCAAAATACATGACATACCACCTACTGGGCATACTGCAATTATTTATGTACTTATAAGCCATGGATTATCATTTGCCATGTGAGCACGCACACACATGCGAACCCAGTGCGGATTAAGTTTGGCCTGGGTTGTTTATCCATGGTACCAAGGAAAACTCCAGCAGAAACAATAACAAAATTGCAAAGCTACCTGTTTGATTTTGATCATGCTAATTAATGAGCAGCAATATAATATTTTGTTGCTATCAAATATTTCCTTGTGTCGCACGAATAGGTAGGCAAATAGCTGACTGATGGGTAGGCACTTTGTCCTTAAGGGCACTGATACTGAATGTAAACAATGTTCTTGAATCTTGTGACACAACAAGCAAGTTTTCATTACCTTATGAAACTAGTGTCAATTTCAATGTCATTAAAATATTCAATTTGATGAAAAAATACATATTTCTCACAAATAAAAATCATGGGTGATCATGGGCAAGTGCGCCACAAATGACATAAACCCTCCAATATTGTCGAATCAAGCTTAAATTCAAGTCACAACAGCTTCACGACAGGCAAACTACAAGATAATAATCCCTATGCTACTGTGCAACAAATTTAAGGTAGCCACACCAACCAATTTAGGAAAAAAATGCATCACAAATCACCTAAACCACTCACCAAGGACAAAACTGTCATGGCGGCGTCCGCTGCTCGAGAAGAGTCGCCGGCGACTGGCCTGTGACGCGGATCTGACGTCACCAGTTGCTGGCGATTGCCCGGCCGTGGCCCGGCGATCGCCACCGACTTGCTTACGTCATACCTACGTCACACACGATCGTTGGCTGGCGGTCGCTGGCGGTCGCCGGCGACTGCTGCTGTCGCCGGCGACTGAAAAGTTGCTACGTGTGAAAGGGCCATTATGGTCAGGCCGCTTATCGCGGACAGCGGTGTTCTTGCTCGGGGTGGTCTTTTTTCAGCTCCGTGTTCGGCAATGTGAGCGAGCAAGCGCGAGAAGACGTGTGCTCGTGCACAAGTTCACATGTGTGTGCCACATCCCTAACTCGTCTAAAGCTTACAGCTATTGAGTCTCTAGCCACCCACCAAAATTGAAAAACAATCGGTGACGCCGTTCTGGAGATACAGAAATAAGGTGCGCGTGTGCAAATATATCTTATCCCCGATTCGTCCAAAGCTTATAGCTAATCCGCTTCCAAGTTCCAGCCACACACAAAATTTGAACAGGCTCGGTCAAGTCATTCATGAGAAACATTAACTGCAACATAAATTCCATCCCACCAAAACTGATTGATTTTGTCTCTTATATACACCATTATCATTGTATCTTTTAATTAGCTGCATTGTTCAACGCTCGCCAGTAGCACGATCAGCGCGATCAAAATCGTGATTAGCCAGCTGAATGCGAAATCAAGATCATGATTAGCCAGCTGGCTGCGTAATCAAGAAGTTGATCATCGGACTCCCGGGACGACGCCTCGTAATCAAGTTGTTGATTACGTTTTGGTTGCAATCTACCGCCTCACGATTTTCAACTTGAATCATTCAAAGATTACACTTGTAGAGTGACTTCTTCTCTATCGGTCTTAAAATTTTCGTGCATCTCCGTAGACCCTGAATCGAGATTCGGCCGTTTTCGTGACGGGCTGCAAACATGACCAAATATGGGCATAAAATAATCATGAACTTGATTAATCAAGTTCTTGATTACCTCCCCGTAGTTTGCCCAACTGACCTCATGCCGACATCCTTTTCCAAAGACAGTCAGCAGCGTCTTTCGTCAAAACTGTAAGATCAATCCCCTTTCAACTGTTAACATCAAAAATATTTCTTCATGGTGTGATCTCCTATGGAAACCTTGCGGGAAAAGAATTAATGTCAATTGTCAGCTCTTCGAATTTCTTTGGACTTAAACTTG